TACATTAGTCACGAGAGTTGTGATCAACTCAGCCTTTTGCTCTTCATCAAAGGCTATACTGATTTGGTGCTATTTGTATTTTCCTTAGATATCGACACTTCTTCCATTATCTTATTTATCTCCAATGCGAAATATTTTTTAGCTAAGTTGGATGCTTTTTTCTTTGTTATTTTCCACTTCTTTGACATAATAAATTCTTAATTATGATAAGTATCACCTAACTTTCAATACTTGACCACTCTTCGAGAACTTCTCAATGACATGATAAGTAGAGATGGCTTATTATAAATTATTTAATAGTGGTTGTCCAAAGATTACATTACACGTAGTTAGTGCATTGACTATTCTGGTAGTGAGCTAGCTATCTCCTTCTCCCCAAGTAATCAATAAGGCGATTACCCCTTTATCTCTTTGTGCCATCTAAAAAAGATTATGAAAGGAGCAGAGGTTAGTGTTGCGCGTGAAGTGCTAAGGTTTATCCTCTTATAGACACTCTTAAATATGATATTCATAGAGATTTGTGTATATATGATAATCATTATGAGTGTTGTAATGATCACCACATCTTTATATGTATTACCATTTATAGATTGATCAACTTCTATGAAGATGGATGATGGCACGTCAGTAGTAGGCGTCCTAGAGTTACTTGCTCAATTTACCTCTCATGACTTTAGTCATTTAAGGCTTGATTGGTGAGAAACTCCTCACTAACTCCTCCATGGATATCGATAACATTGTTCTAGATCACCTATGCTAGGATTGGTTTGTTATAAATCTTCTCCATTGGCGCCTGACCTAGCATTCTTTTGCATCAATAAGAACAAACTCTGTAGGTTTACATACTTTGATGAGCTCCTTCACCAAGCTTTACAAGTGTTGATAATCCTTAGTGTCATGGTTGTGGCCATGATGGTAAGTGTGGTACTATTATTGCTCATGCAGGTGACACTAGTTCTTATGGGCATCAACTTTTTGAAGAAGTTCCATTTTGAATGGTCTCAACTAACTTGGTTATGAGGACTCATACTAGAATTATAGTTTTCATTTGATGAATATGAAGTAATATATGCCTCTTATCATGGCGATTATCGCATCATTTTTTATAGTGCACTTGCCCATCCTAGTGTTGAGTTCTCATATGTTGGGTATATCTTCTTTGAGCATAATAGTTTCTCCTCTCATTTGTCTGGCGTTATGGTGACTTCTTTAAGTCCCTAAAAAATGTCAAAATTTTGCTTTGAAATAGCTTATTTCCTTTTTATTTGTTGTAGTAGAGGCTCCATACTTTATGTTGTATTCCTGATCATTTACATTTCAATATCTAATGTGAAAACATTTTCCCCAATTATTATTTTCTACATTCTAAAATAATATGTATAATAGCCACATTGGCTATAAAATAATACATATAATTGAAAATTTTAAAATGAAACCAAAACAATATTATTCTTAGGCCTCAAACCACAAGTTTCTTACATTTATCTGAAATCATATAAAATTACGTAATGAGGAGATAGCCCACAAATAGCTAAAATCTTACAACTAATGCAAGATAAAAAGGAAATAATATTATGCTGTACAACTCAACCAAAATACTTAGCTACTATAGGTCAAGTGCATATCAAAAAGGCCTCTCTCAGAAACCATGAGTGAAAGCCACTTGGGTGCCATCATGATCTAAATATGTCACATCCAATATATCCTTCTAAAATTTTTTGATGAAGCTCCGAAATAATTCACTTGTTTCTTGCCTCATTAGCATTAAGTCTTGAGAGTTCTAAATCTACCTTTGTGCGATGAAACATTATGTCACAGATATTCTTTTGAATTTGGCGAAAGAAGTAATGATTAAGTTGTAGATGTGAGAACCATCTCATAGGTGATTTTTTTAAAGTTAAAGATAATCTTCATTTTAATTAGTACTTCACTAAAATCCAAGAATGAGAGAGACAACCAACTCAACAAAAGCGATGCGATCGACAAGATTCATCCTTCATTTATATAAATTCATATGAGGGATTTTGAACTTTTTTATATACTTTACCTTAAAAATATCCCTCAAGAAAGCATTGACAGTCGACATCCTTCTCTTCTCAATTTACTTTCTATGTGACAAAGAGCTACATTCGACCCCTCACTATCAAGATAATAATGTCTTATCAGTGGCTGGACTATAGGTCACTGTTTTGGCTTCAAAAAGTAATTTTCTTCAAGCAATTTCACTTTATGAGTGATTCTTCAAATTTTCTTCAATGCTCCTTGAATCATTTGAACACCCTCTCCTCAAAATCAGAATGTTGATGAATAGTTACGTATTTTGATTTTCTATATTAATTGATTCTTCAACTCCTCATTAATGTTGTTCTACTTTATGTAAATCCTCTTCTAATTATTGGCATGCTCCACACTCACAGCATCTCTTGAGACGTTGAATCCGAAAATGTTAGTGAATCACACGCAACTATAATGAGAATGATGAGTAAAAATGAACATGAAAATAGAGAGAGAGAGAGAAATGTAAGCGTGAGAAGCTTTGAGATTTGAATAAAATAGGACTGAGCACAAAAAAATTACTTCTTAAAGATAAATTGAGAAAATTGCATAAGTAGAGCACACACCTAGACTCTTTGATACAAATTGAGTAGAACTGCATGAGCTTAGCTCACCCCCCAACTCTTTGACTTATAAATTTGAGTTGGGCCTTAAGCATTGCAAATTTGATTGCATACATGACTATACATAAATAAAAGAAAACACAATAATAGTTTAGACTAGTTAGAAGATCCGGCTTGAATTGTAATATGCCGGGCAATTGACTTACCAATCAATTGTTGGCCTTAAGAAGTTGCCCTTTGTCGAATAATCATCAGGGTCGAATTAACAAATACTAGTCGCTAGGTTTAACTGATAAGCTTTTCTCGCAGGCTGGGAAGAGTTCTTTGACTATGATTGCCTACTTAAAATGAATTCTTTTGCAGACCAGTGAGTGCGAGATTGAGTATTTCTAGTTAACTTGCTTGAACCGACTTGAACGAATCTTCTTTATACGAATCAAAATATATATCTTAATATAGGCTGTACAGGTCAACCCTTGATACATTTTTTTATTGATGAATATATATATATATATATATATTCTTTATTTTCTATTGTATTTAGCTACAGGCAGTTGTTTTAAAATTATTTACCTCAAATATTTTCTTCGTGAAGACTTCCAATCGCTTCAATATTTACTTAATTATTTTAAACAAAACAATTTTTTATAAAATTCCATTAATGATCAGATTTCATATATTTATATCTTCATACTTATCAGTTCATTTTATATTTTTATGTGCATAAAAATATTGATTAGCCGCTATTTTTCTGATCTTTAGAGTAATAAATCCTTATTTTAGAACTGTCGTATGTAATAAAAAGAATTTCTTTTGCTGTCAACTACGTAAATTGAAATCTAAGTAATTGATTGTAAAAATATCTAAATGAAATTCCTATAGTTACAACAAAATGAAAATTTATGCTAAGTTTCTAATTTTTTTTGGGTTAAAATTACTATTATTATATTCGATCTATAGTTTAATTCTTAATTTTTTAAACGAAGATTCAATACATACACAAATAAAAGGAACATTCAAGACTTCTAATTTATAGGTGGAAAATTCATAAAATAAAAAATTCATAAGGCCAATATCCAATTTTTTTTCGAATGATTCAAATTTTATTCCATAAAGGATTATATAATAAGGACCCAAAAGCTGACAAACCCAAAATACAAAGCTAATATCAAAAATTACAGACAATAAAACACCAAAAATGAAAAACCGGTGAAGAAGGCAAAGAAGCCAGGTAGACTCAAAACTTCATGCAACCACCTAAAAGAAAGTAAATGACCATCCATTGGAGCAACAAGCCACAAATCAAATAGAGGATAACCAATTGAAATATTCCATAATAGAAATTATGTTGTATAGTTTATGTCAATCAAGAGATAACGATCAAGCGATGATAGTATGGCGATATAAGTTGTATGATGGCGATCGGGAGAATGATAACGAGTGATGACAATCATGCGAAAGCTATCAAGTAATGACAATCTAGTGATGTCAATTGTTTAGTGTGATTGTTGGTGTCAATCATCTAATAAGTCTATGATGGTCATCAAATCCCTTAGCATTTTCTAACCTCATGTTCAACTCAATTTATATATTCTCATTTATGCGAAGAAAAAAATATCTATTTATAGTATTTTTTTAGTGACATTTTGATAATTTTAGTTAAAATATTCAAAATACTTCATCAAACAACTCATATTGATTCTCTTGATCATATACCATTCTATGACAATGTAGATATCTCTATGATATCCTTATAGAGTATTTTCGAGCTCGTCGGCATTTTCTCTTCGAGATACTCATTGTGAGTGTAGTAAGCACATAATATTTACAGATTGTATGACTCACCAATTAATATCACAACGATTCAAATTTAAATACTTATATTATTTTGAATTATTATTGAAATATAAATTTATTAAAATTAAGGTTCTATTTAAGTTTAGTAAATAAATTATTGAATTAGAAAATTTTTATTAAAAAATAGTAAAAAAAAAATGCTACAAATGAAGTCTAACTTTTGGATAATCTTAAAAAATAATTTAGATAAAGTGTTTGGGAGAATTAGTAAACCGAATGTGTGAAAAGTAGGGAAATAATGAAATATTCATCTTAGCAGGAAGCTATATGCCTACTTGTATTTGGGTAGACTCCACTTACATGGGTCGGGTCAAACCCGCCCATCATTACTAGGAGAGGACGAGGTCGGTCGAGTCCCGCCATGCACTAACCGACAAAAAGAACAAGGCCACTGCTTAAACCCGGCCAATACCAGGTTAGATGCCGCGCTTATTCGTCTACTCACACGTGGACGGCCAAGATTTCTCCACGTCTGACTCTAAAGGAACCTAACCACGGTTTTATCTTAACCAGTTAAAACACTCCACCTTCCTGCCTTTGCCCCCATTTTTCTTCCTTCGTTTACATCCTCTCTCTCTCTCTCTCTCTAAAATGTTCTCTCTGTACTGACGGCGGCGCCTCCTTCCTAGTGCCGCCGGCGAACTTGAGCTTCGACTTCGAAGTCTTACTGCACCCGTGGAAGGAGCCGAGGAGTTACGTTATCGATTGTTACTGGGTCTAGCTTGAAGGCGTTGGGAGCTTGATATATCTGGATCGGAGCTTTGCGGGAACTCTCCTGGCGGCTGCGGCGGCCGCCGATCTTATCGCCGGAGGCTTCCGGACATGAACGCGGGCTATTTGGTTTGAGGTTGACCTGCAATTAATCGAAGGGCACGCTCGATCCAGGATCGATAGTAATGGTGGAATTGGAGATTTCAACGGCGATGGCGGCGTCGAACTCAGTCTCCGCTGACGTTAGCGTATCGTCGGCTCAGGTGCCGCCGGTTAAGAAGAAGAGGAACCTCCCCGGAATGCCAGGTAGATTTACCTAGATGCTTAATACCGAGATATTTTTTTCATCTTTTATATGCAGAGATTGAGATTTCCTTTTCACTAGATCCGAACGCCGAGGTGATTGCTTTGTCGCCGAAGAGTTTGTTAGCGACGAACAGGTTCGTATGCGAGATCTGCAACAAAGGTTTTCAGCGAGATCAGAACCTGCAGCTTCATCGGAGAGGACACAACTTGCCATGGAAGCTCCGGCAGCGGACGGGGAAGGAGGTGAAGAAAAGGGTTTATGTTTGCCCGGAGCCCAGCTGCGTTCACCACGATCCATCGCGCGCGCTTGGGGATCTCACAGGCATCAAGAAGCACTTCTGCCGTAAGCATGGTGAGAAGAACTGGAAGTGTGATAAGTGTTCCAAGAAATATGCCGTCCAGTCCGATTGGAAAGCCCATAACAAGACATGCGGAACCCGGGAATACCGCTGCGATTGCGGCACCCTTTTCTCACGGTGAGAGACAATCGTCAATTATTTCTGGTTTGGGATATTCATTTTGCGCTCACTGGCTCGCTTTGTTCTCTGCTTTCAGAAGAGATAGCTTCATAACGCACAGAGCATTCTGCGAGGCACTGGCAGAGAACTCGCGGCCGCCACCGGCGAGTTCGCGGGTAGAGGAGGTACATACGGCGTCGCCGTTGCCAGCTTTACCGATTCAGCAGATACCGCCAGCGCCGCCGGAACAGCAAGGTTTGTTTTATCTTTTGTTTTTTGGATGGATCAAAAGCTCGCTTTTTCTTCTATTTTGGATTACCCTGGCTATCGATTCTTGATTTGTATATTTTATTTGGGGGAAAAGGGTAAAGCGGCAATCTTCTCGTCCTGGGTTCGTCGAGAAGTGTATTTTCCGTAGGTTTTGTCGGCTCTCTTTCTCTCGTTGCAATAAAAAACGGAGCTTGGATTTTCTCTGCCTTCTTTTCTTTTTTAAGTTTGTTAATCTTGTTCAAGGACCCAAGTTATCGATAGAAATAGAAAGAAAAACCTGGGAGTTAGACGGTGATCGAGGTTCCTTTCTTTCTCTCGAGAGATTAATCAAACGATAAATACACCAAAAAACAATTCTGATTGAAACATTTCATCTGCTTTCATTATCTGGACGGAGCTGTCCCCAAGCTTGCAAACTTGGGAGTGGGAGACGATAAAGAAGACCAAAGAGACAAAAGGATCAAATTAATTCCCCAATTAATAAACCCATCATTGCCCCTTTCTATTTCTTACATCTTTTATCCGAATATTGCGTTCCATTGCCTGATTTTTTCTCTTTTTGCCGCTTCCAGATCCGGAAAACGCAAGCAAAGTACTACACTGCCCGCCACCGCCGGCGCCGGTACCGGCACCAGCGCTTAGCAGCAATAGCAGTACCACAACAACAAGCGGAGGTAGCAGTAACAGCAGCCCCGCAGCAACGTCAACATCCACCAGCCTCTTTGCAAGCCTCTTCCCATCCTCCGCCCCCCCTGCAACCGCCGCACAGACCACGACATCCTTCCCAACCCTCCTCGCCTCCGATGCCTCAGTAATGGAACCTCCCTTGCTCTGCCTCTCCTCCTTCTTCCCTCTGGCGCCGGAGCGACGCCAGTCCCAGCCCTCTCCGCATATTTCGGCGACCGCTCTCCTGCAGAAAGCCGCGCAGATGGGTTCGTCGTCATCCAGCTCTTCTTTCCTCCGTTCTCTTGGCTTGGCCACCTCGTCAACAAACAACACCGGGAGCGATCTCTCCGGTGGCGGCTCCCTACATTGGAGCAAACAGCAACAGCAGCAGCACGCGCCGTCCGGGCTCGGATTGGGCCTCGCTTATGATAGCAGCGGTATCGCCACCGCCAATCTGCCGGAGCTAATGATGAGCTCTTCATCTCTCTTCGTGCCCAAGCCAGCTGCCCTTGACTTCCTTAGCCTTGGTATGAGTACGCCTTTTATGAACTCCATGGGCGGTGGTGTCGGGAGCTCTCCGCCGGAAAAGACATGGGAGGCCGCCGCCGACCAGAAACCCAACGGTTCGACGTTTCTCTAGCACAGTATGAAAACAAGTTAATCACGTCTCTCTCTCTTATTAATTTGCTTAATTTCTAATTTTGTTAGGTATAATTTCTTGTTTTAGCTTTCTGTTTTCGCCTTTTTGCTGTGTGTAACTGTGCTCCTTTTTTTTTTTCCTTTTGTTAGTGTGCTAAAGTAAATTATATTTTTCAGTTAAATGTTATTTATTTAAAAAGTTTATATATAGGGCTGATATTTTTGCTTCTTAGTGTTATCAAATCAATGTATTTGTGCACGTGTCTATATATTTCTACCATATTTTTCTTTAATTATATGTAAGATGAAAAAATGGTGATATAATTTTAGGGTATGTTTGTGTTGGCTGAGTGTTTTATAAAAAAAAATTGTGAAATTATTATTAAATTATTTTTTTATTTGATATGAATATTATTAAATGTTTTTTTTAATTGAACAGTTGATTTTTTTAAATTATCATATTTGGTTGTAAAAAATATATTTTCATTTCAGAATTTTCTATAAAGAATAGTAAACAAATTTATAGTTAAAGTTTCAAAAAACAAAATAGTGAGAAAATGCTCTCAAATTGCTCTTTAATATAGATGCAGTAGTAATATTTTTAATCATTAAATTGTTCAAAATAGTCTTTTTGTTTATTATCATATAGTCATTTTAGTTTTAGAGTATAATATTGTTTCAATTTAGTCTCTTAATGATACAAAATAGGTCTAAAATATCTCTTTGAGATTAAATTGGAATCAATTTTGTAAAATCAAGGGACTAGGGTTTCGTTTGGGATGCCTTTCTTATTGCTTCATGAAGCAATTTTTAAATATAAAATTTACTTTTTTAATTGAAAAGCTGCTTTAAGAAGTGGTAAGAAAGTGATCCCAAATGAACACTAAATCAGGTTCAATTTTGTAACAAAATTATAACATTCAGATATATTTTAGAGCAATTTTGTATAGTTGAGAAATTAAATTAGAGCAATGTATTATTTTAAGAATAAATGGGGTATACATTAATAATTAGGAGATTCTTTTGAAATTTATATGTAATTTTCACCATTTCTCTTATGGCATCTCTAACCGAAAAACTCAATTTTCATTCTAAAATACAGTAATATATCAAAATGCAGTAATTTGTCTCCGATTAAATTTTAGTTTTTAACATTAAAAAAGAATATTTCTAGTATATTCTTTCACATATTTTATTTTAACTTGTTTTTTTAATTTTAAAATAATAATAATAATAACTGGTGAACAAGCATTGTTCACCCACTTCCTTCTAGCATTTTTTTTTGGCGAGCAATTGAGCGACGCTATATAGTCGTTTGAAGTTCAGCTTGAGAAGCTATTAGCATGTAAGTGACCAGAGTTAAAAAGAAAAAAAAAAACATAAAAAATGTCATATTTATTTGTACTTTTTAGTTTCAGAATATAACATTATTGGTTCAAATTACTCTCTTAATTATAATACAAAATATATCTAAAAGGATTTTTTTGAGATTAAATTATAATCAATTTTGTAAAGTCAATGGACTAAATCAAGTTCAATTTTGTATCAAAATTATAACATTCAAAAATATTTTGGAGCAATTTTCTATAGTTGAGAAATTAAATTAGAGCAATATATTATTTTGAGATTAAATTGTGCATACACAATAATTTGGATATTATTTTGAAAATTTTCCATGTATTATTAGGGAGATTATTACGTGTGGAGTCAGGACACATAGAACCGTTCAATTTTGTGATTATTATTCACCACTTTGTTTTTATTTCGCTTTTACTATTCATAGTCACAAAACTGAATGATTCTATCTGTCTGAACTCCGCATGTAATAATTTCTCGCATTTTTAATCATTTTTCTTGGCATATAAATGACAAGAGTTAAAAAGAAAAAAAACATAAAAAAAGATGTCATATTTATTTGTACTTTTTGCCTCTAATTTTTATCAAAGAGGCATCATGAATTCTATCTATATGTGCAGCGGGGTGGATGCTTTATTCAACGGGTGACTATGTTTACCAAACTTTGAACGGTATTCGGTGGCTTGACGTTTTCTCCTACCTCGGTCTGTCACCTCTGCTTAGTAATTAGGGTGAAATAAATAATCGCATGAGAGCCAAAACGAGCATTAGAAAAATTTGTAAAAAATTCAAATCAGGAGAAAAAGTATTAATATTGTTCGGTAGTGTTGTCTCTTCTAAGAAAACTTGACAAAATAAGTTGCTCGCATATGCGACAATGAATCCTTTGGTTAAGGGGGAATTATGACGTCCGTACATCTAATTCAGATGTGCCACATCACCCGAATATACTGGATCCCAGTGTATTTTGATGATGTGGCGCGTATGGAGTGGTGTCCGGATGAATCCGGACACCGGATGTAATAATTTTCCTTGGTTAAGAGAATAAAAATATGCTAAGCATCATTTGGGACGGCTTTTTGACTGCTTTTTAAAGGGACTTTTTAGTACATATTTTTGTACTAAAAAACTGCTTTAAGAAGCAGGAAGAAAACCGTCCCAAATGAAGTCTTAGTTAATGTGTACAACTTTATTAACCTCTGTTTTCTACAATGGCAGCATGAAGGCCTAAATAGTCAGCAGAGGCAGAAATATGTGTAGATATATAACTAAGTTTTGCTTTTGCTCAAAGTTATATTTTGACAATGTATATTCTTTTGGTAGAAGAAATAATCATTCTTAGGTTAAAATATATCTATGTTTAGAATAGTGGTTTGAACGAGACGAGTCGAGTCGGGCTTAAGTTAACTTTAAGCTTGGGGTTGAGTTTGACAAGTGCGAGCTCTAACTTGAGCAAAAATTTTGAGCTGGCTTAAGAGCCGGCTTATTTATAATTAGTGATGGGGAGTGAATGATTACGATTCAAATAGTTTTTTATAATAAAGTTATAAATAGAATGAGAAATTAAAATATTAATAATAAAGAATTATTTGATATAAGAAAATGAGATATATTTTTTAACTATTTTTATAGTTTTATACATGAATTATTATAGACGATAACTTCCCAGCATAAAACTTTTTTAAAAGCAGCGAACCAAACAAAAATTATATTTTCTAGCCTTTCAAACGTCAACAGTGCCATGTTTAAGAGATGAGAGCTTTCAACAACATGACAAGAAGCTTATTTATTGTTTTCTTTAACTGATAAGCTTATTTGAATTAAAGATTTCTCGAGTTGAATTTATGATTATTCGAACTTCAATTTCAATAAATTTATAGTCAATTTGATTATCCTGATAATATGAACATGACAATATCAAAAGTAATAATATCTAAACTCAAATGAGTCCATCAGGCCACCATTGTCTGATCATTGCTATAGGATCGTTGTCGCTTTGACAATTGTTGTTGGATCGTCATTGCCCAACCATTATCACAGAACTCTACTATCGTTGGATCACCTCCATCAGATCACTGATGCCTTACTACTGTTATTCAATCACGGTCGTAGGCCTGCCGTTGCTTGACCAAATCATTGGATTGTCATCTTCTAATCATTGTTGTCAAACTTTAGTTGTTGTCGGACTATCCCTATAGGCCCCCTACCGCCCAACCACCATTATTAAATTGTCATTATATGACCAACATAATTGAATTGTCATTACTTAGCTTGAATCATTGGAATACCTCTCATTTCTAATTAATTATGTGATATGTTCTACATTCACTCATACTCTTATAATATTGCCTTCTTCGAATTAAGGGACTTAAAAATCAGTTCTACCATTGTTATCTTTCATTTGATTTCCTATATCAGGCCTGTATTGAGAGGACAAATTTCTATAAGATCGACATTTAAACTTGCATGAAATTGAGAGTTGAAATGTAGCGATGAATGGAGACAATAAAATAATAAATTTAAGTTTTGTTTGGGATGATTTTTTATCACTATTTTTTATTATTTTTTAAATATTTTTATATACTAGTAAAAAAATGGCACCAAAGAAAAATTAAAGGTATTGAAGAGTTTTTTTAGTGTTATATAAGCAATTAATATATTTTAGATATGTAGTTATTAAAATTTTAAGTAATACTTATCTAAGAAAATAATAATAATAATAATAAAAATAATCGTTGTTCTCCTAGACAAGGGCGACAGATTTTCATGGCCTCCTTCTCCCCATCTTTCCCTCCATTTCCCCGTTCCCACGCCGTCGACACTGTCGCCTTCTCTACTAAGGTTCTCATCACGCAATCTTCTTCGTTTCCAACTCAGCATTCGACCTTCACCTACAATTCCCGTATCCGGGCCGAAACCGAAGCCGGACGCCCTGAGCGGGCCCTCCTCCTTCTCCACCGCATGCTCGCTCAGGACACGCTCCCACTCGACTGCTTCACCTTTCCCACCGTTCTAAAAGCCTGCACCCATCTTTCCGCCTTCGCCGAAGGAGAGCAAATCCACTGTCTTTTCCTCAAATCCCACTTCGCCGCTTGCGACGATGTATTTGTGCTCACCTCGCTAGTCCATTTCTACGCTCGCTGCGGCCGTTTAAAAGATGCCCGCCTCGTGTTCGACCAAATGGCCAACAAAAATGTGGCTTCTTGGAACGCGATGCTCGACGGGTATGTAAGGTCCGGTGATTTACAATCTGCTTACAAGCTGTTCAATGAAATGCCTGATAGAAATGTTGTCTCTTGGAACACTTTGATTTGTGGCTTTGTGAGAACTGGTTGGGCTTGGGAAGCGCTGAAGCTTTTCGTCGAGTTTCAGATGTTGGGGATGAAAGCAGACGAGTCAACAATGGTGAGTGTCATTGCAGCGGTTGCGGATCTGGGGCTTCTTGCTTTAGGAAGAAAGGCCCATGCATATGCCATGCGCTGCTCGTTTTCTTTTGACAGAGCTCTTGGCGTGGCGTTAATTGATATGTACACAAAGTGTGGAAGCATTGGAGCCGCCCATAAAGTCTTCATGACTATTGAATCAAAGAATGTTGGCCATTGGACTTCCATGATTGCTGGATTTGCTTCTCATGGCTTTGCAGTTGCTTCACTGCAAGTGTTTGTGGAAATGATGAACTCTGGCACCTTGCCGAATGATATAACATTTATTGCTGTGCTCAATGGCTGTAGCCATGGAGGATTGGTATATGAAGGGTTGGAGTGTTTTAAGCTTATGAAGACCTTCGGAGTTGAGCCGAGAGTGAAGCACTATGGGTGTTTGGTTGACTTACTCGGTCGAGCTGGGCTCATAGATGAAGCAATGGAACTTGTGAGCGCTATGCCAGTTGAGCCCAGTCCAGTGATCTGGACTAGTTTGCTTGCGGCTTGTAAGAATTATGGATGTACTGAGGTTGGGAAGGTTGCAGCAGGGAAGTTGATTGAATTGGATGCAAGCAAAGGAAGCCCTTTTGTTCTCCTCTCCAATTTGTATGCAAATTTGGGGAGGTTGGAGGATTTCAGTATTGTAAGGAAAGCCATGGAAGACAGAGTAATGACAAAGGTTGCTGGGTTCAGTTCGATTGAAATTGATGGCCATGTACATGAATTTGTGTCTGGAGATAAGATGCATTTCAAAACTAAGGAGATCTATGGTGTGTTGGATGAGTTAAGGAGTTTCTTGAGATGGCAAGCAGGGAGAGCTGTGTTCTGATTGGTATATGGATGTAGAGCTGTGTTCGACATCCGCACAGAATTCTCTCTTCTACGTAACATATGTCATGTAAATAATGCAAGAGGTATGCTAGACTTCACACTGAAATATAGCTTGCTTTCTTAAACTATTACCATTTATGCTTCTATTTATAGTAAAACTCATCTTTAGCCAAGTATTGATGAACCTCGATAGGTCATTAGCAAACCTCGATTGGGATTGAACTAAAGTTTCTTTTAGGATGGTTTTCACCTACGAGCGAACTCCCCTCGTTGCTTTGGTGCTTATGATCAAAATGTTGTAGCTTCAGATCCGATGGGAAGAACGTCGTCCAGGAGCGTAGTTGAATAGCGACAAAGGCGCTAAACCGGTTTACGGGTCAAGTCGGGTTGACCCGAACCCAAAGCGGGAAGGGTTCGGGTCTGAAAAATTGACCCGTTTGTAAAAACGGGTCGGGTTGACCCGAACCTGAATAGTGCTGGATCAGTTCCGGATTCGACCCAAACCTGATCCGTGACCCGAAATTGACACCCCTAGTCTTCTTCTTGTTTTTTAAAACAATTTTCTAAAAACTTATTTAAAAAATAACTTTCTAAAAAATTGTTTTACAAAACAGTAAAAACGTTATTCCAATCGAAGTTTAAGTCATTACTCGTTGGGAGTTGGGAAGTTTAACACAAAAAATCAAGAGATATGAAATAAATTTAAAATTATTAAAATTTTGTGGAAGAAAAAATAATTTTAAAATATTTGGATTTGCAAAGTACAATTTTAAATGGCGCGGGAATTTCATGAAACTATAACCACATAAAAATCGCCAATGAAATTGTGAATTGTCCGGACGGTATCCTCACCTCCCCTGAGCTGGCAACACCCGTCCTAGTGTTTTACGCCTCTACCATCTCGTCGGATGGTGATCGGACCGGAGCTCTACTTCTCCGGGACCCATCCAGCGCAGCCAAACCACTGCGCGCCAAAAGAAAAGCAATGGCGGAATATCTCCTCAGCCTACCGTTATCTTCTCCCAAAATCTACTCCTCTTGTCCACTCCACATGCCGCTTTCCTCACAGGGCCCCGCTTTCCCTTCTTATTCCTGCCCTGGTTTCTCCACTGCTTCAAAGTTGGAAACTTAGTTCCTGTTCAGTGATTCCAAATGGAAATCGTCTCCGAGAGGGAGCGGATCCTCCTCGGCTACGCACCTCGCGACCCTTTCTCCGGAGTTGAATTGAGCTCGCAGCGCCGGAGCTCGGACATCGACTTCCATGACGTCTTTGGGGGACCCCCGAGGCGGTCGTCGATCTTCGAATACCGTCGGAACCGCGCGGATTCGATCGATTCGTATTCTAGAGCGAGTCGAGGGCGGGAAGACTCGGCCGAGTCTCGCCGCTCGAGTCGCGGGTCGGGGGAGAAGCCGGTGTTTGGCGATGGGAGTGGGTCAGGTCGGAGGCGGCAATTGGGAGATGATTTCTACAGCGATATTTTCCAGAGCAGCGACTCAGCCTGTTCTTCTCCGAAGAGAGGTGATCGGGATGCTTTACAGTCGTCTCCGGGCTCAAGGGTCAATAGTCCTAATCGGCCAACACCGATTAGGTCGGAGTCGTTGTTTGGGGGATCTTTGCTCTCGCAGTCCAGGTGCTTGATTTAATGTTCTCTTCTTTGTTTTATAGTTTGTTGGTTGATTTTACCTCTCACTAAGAATTGAAATGAAATTTCATAGTTTGAAAGTAAACCCTTTCCAGAGTTTGGTGGAAGATGAAGGAATTCAACATGAAGTTATACCATGTAAAAAAACTTATTCTTAAAAATTGAAGAATTGTTATTCTTGTTGATGTCTCAGTTATAGAAACTGACTTAATTATCTTTTGAATGCCATGAAATATTTATGGCAGATGACCTAGCTTGGTGCTTTACTTCAAATGTTATCACTGTTAGCTGCTAAACCTTGTAATTATGATGTTGACCTAAGTTTAATAGTGTAAGCAATTCCCGACCTTCTTCTCCAATAGTTTAATAAACCTGAAAAACACAATTCTATTTGGTATAACCTTTTTATTTCGTTTATGCATATCCTATTATTTAGTTGTGTCCCAAACATTAATTTTGTGTTAGACCGGTCCAATTACAACCGGTCCCTAGGGGGTAGAGAGAGAGAGAGAGAGAGAGAGAGAGATGAGTGGGATCCACTAAAACTTCAAATTCAAACTCTTTGGAGGGAAAGGAGGGGGCGGCAAGGGATCCTTAGTCATTTGGCTTGATTAATTAATTGTTTTTTTATTAATTAATTGTATGCTTTAAGTAGGATGTGGGAATTAAGGTTAGGGCATGTTTTGATTATTGTGTTCTTGTGAGAGTTTCTTCTTGGTGTCTTGGGCTCTAGATTCATCTAGAGATTGGAAGAGAACGGTCCTCCTCTCGAATTGAGGATCAATTGTATCTTTGCTTTCGTTGTTTCCGTTAGTTCTCTCTTTTGCAATCAAATTACTATTTGGAGAGTTTTCCACCAGATTTTGTGTGAATCATTTGCTATTTTTCTCTATCTTTTTTAAGGTTTACTTGAAATATTTAAGTATTTCATATCATTTTGTTCCTCCAATTTTTGCTGTTAAAATTGTACCCTATTCTAATTTTAAAATTCGGATCCATCGAATTGAAACTTTATCCCTTCTTGTAGATTCTATCTGTTAAATGCTCCACTAGCTCATATGTTTAGTTTGTTCAAATTATAGTTTTTTATTAATTAGAAAAGAAACCTTAACGTGTTTAAAATCTTTGAAATATTATTGAAGTGGCAGAAAACATGTAGTTTTCGTGCTTTTCCATTTTCACTAATTACAGTTAGGCATAGTTTTGTATTTTTATAGTACGATTTCAATGGCCTGTGGTAGAATCCTCTAAAACAAAGCCACAATTTGGTTGAATTAATTGCACGTCAAAAATGAATTAATGAAGTTATTTTGCTCCATCCTAACTTCTTAAAAAAAAAAATCCCAGTCTATGCACTGTTCTTATACTGCCCCACCCTGAACTTATCCTATAGAAAGTCACTTTAAGGTACCAGCTAGCAGGAGATTTCTTTGCAAAAAAGAAAAAAAAAAGGTAACAAGAGTCTGGTGGCATCCTGTAATATTCCAATTTGTTCTAAGAAAAAGTTCACCTTTTATTGTTTTCTCTCTTTTAAAGTTCTGATCATGACTATTTAATTCTCAGCTTATCAGAAAAAATGGATAAAGATTTGGACCATCCAGGATTTGGATCTATAACCCAGCACTCTGTATCCAGAAATGAGGATGAACGATCTGATGCTTTCAGCTTTTCATTATCTCCTAATGCTTCTTCTACTGATTATTTTACAACACAACCAGTTCTTTGTCATGGTGATCTAAGAAACAAGAGCTATGCTTCCTATCGTCAAAGTGCATTATCCCGCCGAATTCCTTCTAGCTTTGAGGGTTTGGCAGACACGATGGAACCTTCTTTTCAAACAGTTAAAAGCCAGAATGGAAAGAGTTCAAGCAGCTTAGAGGATTATATCAGCAGTCGGCAGTTCCATTTCTCTATACACAAATGGGCAGGAAAAGGGGTTATGCTTGTCATGCCTTCTTATTCTAATGAAAGAAATGAAATTGAAAGAGGACTCACAACATTACCTGAAATAGTTGTTCAAGAAGTTGATATACCTTCCCACTGTGATTCTTTCTCTCATTTGACTAAAGCTTTCGAATCTGAAACTGAGAATCAAGAGAAGAAATCAGACAAGAAGGAAGATGATTATATAGCTCTTAATGCAAAAGGCCTTTCACATGTTGAGTTTGGTCCAGAGCTTCTCAGAGATCATACAAGTAAAAAATTAGGTCACAGCTATCAATCTTTTTTTTTTTTTGGGTTTCAACCATCATTTAATTAATGCGTCCAAGAAGATAAGACTATTCTGGAATGTTAAACAATGCTTAACCAGACTGTTGGGCGTTTATAATGACAGGCAAATGTGGCAAGCAGAGTGAAAAAGTTTCAGTTCCATATTTTGACGAAAATTCATGTACAAATTGGGCAGATGATGAACATAATCCTGAATTCAAGTCCATTGTTCATGGTGAACAGAATCATGAGCTGAAAAGTCTTAGTCAATTGTTTGATGATGATGTCAACAATCTGAGTGAGTACTGTCAATGGGTTAACTGCGCACTTCAATTTCATTTCATATTCAGGCTTTGTTTTGGATGGCTTTCTTACTGCTTCTTAAAACAGCTTTTTAGTACAAAATTTTTAATTTTTGTATTAAAAAGTTGCTTTAAGAAGCATTAAGAAGCTGTCCCAAAAGAAGCCTAAATTGAGTGCATGATGGTGCTTTTCTTTGCCTTTAGGAACTGATGATATACCTAGACCGATTAAAGAAAGGGAGCCCCAATCTAAAAGTCAGAAAAAGCGACAACTTCCAAGGGAAAGTAGGCTAGTTCCTGGTAACACAAATTGTTCTGCATTGCATGATAATCCCCTTTTAGAAGATAAAACCCGTGGAAACAAAGTTACGGGGAAAGTAAAAGATTTCATAAGAAAATTCAACCAGGAAGGTTCACCCAAAAGAAAAAGTGCTTTTGAAATGCTAGTTCGTAGGTCTAAAGGTGAACAGAACAAACAGGACAAAGTCGATGAACTGGCCCATGTCTCCTCTATCGGGGCAGTTAAGTTACGGGGGAAAAGTATGAATAACAACATACCATTATTTGATATTCCTAAGGTCATGGTATGCCATTTATATGCCTTAAAGAATTTTAGCTTTGACTCATTTGTAATGCAAATCAATATGTTTACTATTTAAATCAAAACTTATGTTGTTTAATTGTAATAAAGAACATAAAAATTTACTCCATTAGGCTAAGATTCCTTTTTTAATTTCCAAATGTTTCAGGAAAATCATGTTATAGAAAAGGCAGAGGAAGACAAGTTTGGCATTTCTAGTGATGGTCACCCTTCAGAAGAAAGGATTGAAGTCTCACCTCCACAATCTGGTTGGTTTCTATTTTACTCTTCTCCTTTGTTTGCATTTACAATTTCATTAGCATGCCCTATCTGCCTGTTGGGGAAGTAAGACTAGGCAACGAAACAAACAAGAAACAAAAATTGTAGCGGAAAGAAAGGACACTAGGATTTAATGTGAAAAAACTCGAAACAAGCATATACGTAAAAAGGTTGGAGTAGCTCCAGTGGAAGATAAGATTAGTGAGGAGTTGCCTTAGATGATTTGATCACATAAAACGACGGCCTTTTGATGACCCATTTAGTAGAGTAGATGTATTAGATTTGGTTTATGTTAAGAAAGGTAGAGGTAGACCTAAAAAAACTTGGCTAGAAAATATTAGAAATGACATTTCTTTATTAGATTTAATTAAGAATTTGACTCTTAACAGGATACAATTGAGAAAAAAATATTCATGTAGCCGTCCCCACGTAGTGGGATGAAGGCTTGATGTTGTTGTTGAATATGATATGCCCAATTTTAAATTTTAAAGCGTAGTTATTTTATCAAATACTTAACTATTATGCCATGCATGCCAACGTATAAAATTGAATATAATGTCGTTATTTTGAAATGGAAATGTATTATTTCTTTATTAAATACCTAACTATCACAAAATTCATGGTAGTACTTTGGCATTTGAATTCAAATAAAAAACTATCAACTCTTTTATATAAACATATAACTATTAATTCATGTATGCCTAATATTATTTAATGACTAATTACATTTACTATATGAGATTATCTTTAACTTTACATTTAAATTTAATTGCTCAACATTTAATGCCTTCATGATGTGAAACAACCAGGAATTGCAAGGAAATAATAAAATTATTGTAAGCTTGCTAATTTAAGATTAATGAATCACATGAATTAATTTTATGAATTATCCATTGACGTTTGGCTCTGGCATGCAGTTACAATTTTAGGAGAACAGATCAATTTAAAATAAGATCAGAAAATACAATAGAACTAGATGTGCTGTAATAATAATCCACATGTTAATATCTAGAGCTTTTCATCTCGAGTTTTCCTTTCTCACTCAGACTCTATGAGGGGCTTTAGCGGCGAGAGATCTTCAGCAGACCAAACGACGCCACTAAGAAAGTTATGATGCCGATGGTCTGATCCACGGGAGGGTAGCTGGAGAAGGAGGCGTTGGTGGACGTCCGACAAGTTCCCATTGTCTGGATGGTCGTCGTTCGTCGATAGTCTCAGCGAGATGAAATAGTATGCGATCTACGTAGTCTTCAACGGAATCTTCAAACTCCCAGTCGGGGTCAAAAGGGCGATTGTAGGATATCAATTTGTCCTTGAGAATTGTACGCAAATCCGTGGTCAACTTCAGGATCGACCATGCATTAGCGAGGAGGCCAAGGAGGAGTAAAACCTCTCAAATAGGGGTGTCAATTTTTGACCCGACCCGAAACCCGACCCAGAAAAATTTCATGTTCGGGTTGTCCCGTTTGTGAAACGGGTCAGGTTCGGGTTCAACAAAATGACCCGTTTCAAAAAACAGGTCGGGTTCAGGTTGACCCGGCAACCCGAAAATGACCCGAAAATCCTCTGCCCGGTTTGCTGCCTGCTCTGCCCGGGTTCGGTTCAAGTCGTGTCGACGCCTCACGCCTAAGCGGTGCACGTCCCGAAGCGGCGACGCGCCTGTGCGGTGTGCGTCCCGAACCGGCGAAGTGCGAACTCGAAGCGGCCAAAGCGTGAACGCTTTCCGCGCATGCACGTCCCGAAGCGACGAACCCGAAGCGGCGACGGGTCCTGCCGCTGCTCCCGCTGCTCCACCTGCGACGCATGCAGCCACTTCCGCTGCTCTGTCGCCGCGGTAGTATTTCAAAATCCGGGTCGAGTCGTGTCAATCCGGCAACCCGCGCGACAGAGCCGACCCGTTTACAAAAATGGGTCGGGCTCGGGTTGACCCGTATAAAGTCTGGTCAATTCAGGTTTGACTCGAACCTGACCCGCTGACCCGATTTGACACCCCTACTCTCAATAAGATAGTATCACTTGATATTAAACGGAGTGGAGGAGCAAGGGAGGTGAGGGGAAGTAGTGGTCAGCCTTAGGAGGAGAGGAAGAGGTTAGGGTGTGCGCTAGGTTTAGGCTTTAAGTCAAGGGGAATAGGAGAAGTGAAATCTGAAATTAGGGAGAGAGGAAGGATGTCTAAATGCAATGTATTTGGGGCCCAAGCAATTAATGTTGATTGAGGAATAAATGTGAAATTAATTTCAAATTGGAGGATTAATTGGGATGTTTCATAAGAGAGAATTACATTAATTACGAAGTTTTGAAATTCAAAATAACTTGAATTTGAATTCATAATCTAAGGAAAGTATTAATGGCTAATTGACTGTGGATTCTATGGGTGAGGGTAAAGCCGGCGGCTAGGATTGACTAGGTGGCCGACGGCTTGAGGAAGGTGGGGAGGGGCGGACATATGGAGGGAACCTGTCGGATTCCAATGGGTTTGGGTTGGGTGTTGGAAGCCGACGGGTGGTGGGGAGGGGAGGGGATGTGGTGCCGTCGGGTTGGGGAGATGGGTAGGGGATGAGGACTGTCAGTTTGGGAGGAAGGGGAGAGGATAATTGACGGCTTGAAGCAAGGGGAAAGTTGGACCACGAGCCCGTAGCACCTCCGCGACTGGTGGGTATTGCTTTGCCCACACCTTGAGACTTCGTCACTCAAAAACTCTCAAGCTCGAGAGAAGAAAACCAGAAATTTATTAAGCAATCTTAGAAAACAATACAAAGTCTAGGACCTCTATATATAGGCCTCCACAACGAAGAAAACTCAAAGACAAATATGCGCTCTGGCAACAACTCACTAAACTCCCTCATAGGGGTACAAAGGTTAACTAAAACAAATAATGAAAATAATACTAATACAATAACATAAAATAACTCATAAATAGATGCTCCTAATCTTGGCCGTCGATCTGCGATGTCTCCTGTGATAGACGCGCTGGAACCTTCCACTGATGTCCTCGTCACTTCAACTCAAGCCAGGTTAAATTAATAATTTATCTTCAAGCCTGGGTGTTTTTACAGTACAACTAATTATTCAATTTTATTTATATTATTTTTTCATCCATTGCAATGTAAGGGTATTGATTAGTTTGTACCTAAAGTAATGCGTCTAGAACCTTCACAATTGGCTGGATGAAACACTTCATTTCGCTATTTGTCTGGCAGTTGATCCCAACAATCATATGAGAATGCCTTGCTGACAATTATTCTCTTTGAGCATATGAGCAAATGGCGGGTATTATTTTTTCAAGTTAGTAATCTGCTAGAACTCTAAAAGCTAAGCACACGTGAAAGAAAATTTTGTCAAGGGTGGGAGAAATAATCTTTTAAAGGACTATGAAACCTCGGCTGACCAAATAGATTGGCCAAGGCTAATGACGATTTGAATAGGCCCTCTTAAGATGTTTGAAGAACTTCACTGTAATCTAAATTGAAAGAATCGTATCTTTTATATTTACATTTACAACCATTTAACCATTCAATGAATATATGACAAATAGAAAGACTACTAGAAGCCAACACGTAGATCACCTTCAAGCTTCTTTACTTTTCCCTGAAAACATGTAAAAACCAAATAATGAATATTTTAACCTAACAAGTTACCAATATCTACAATTGAAACCAATTTCTATCATATACTTAATTATATCAGTAGCATATTCAATAATATAGTGACATTTTAGTTTCACATCAATCCATCATATATCAATTTAGCATTCAAAATCAATGGTCATCAATAGTTAGTATCTATCATGTCATGTCAATAATAAGTCGTTAGTTTTATCCTCCTTATCTTTCATAGACTATCAGTGCACGTATCCATACCATATGCTATTTATGCACATGCATCAATGTTATATGGTTGTCTATTAATATTATCAATGTATGCATGTATCAATGTTAGATTCAGTTAAGCAGGACATCCAGCTTTAATGTAGTATTTTCATCATTCCATCTGTTACTTGTCCATATCTATCCATATGTCAATTATATCTTATCTTTCATTTATTTCTATTTATCATTTATTTTCACTGTGGCTTTCAATAATCCTTTAAGAGTCATCACCCTCTACCCGTGGTGTAATTCAGTCAATCAGTTATAGCGTGACATGTTGAATCCATAATTACTGTATAACATAGCCTTCAATTCCGTGACAACAATTTCTAACGCTCAATGCAGTGTCGAAGCGCCCTTGTTCAAATAGAAATTCAAAATTTCCTTTTAAAAATGCTTTTTCATATTTTTGGGTTGTTGCATTCACGGTCAAGTTTTGGCTAAAAGCATCTTTTCTGTCTGGCTGATCCCTAAACTGGATACGGTGGTTCAGTTAATGAACTTTTAGGTACACTTGTAGTCCTAGTTCAAAAAGTTGTAACAATTCTTTGACCACACCTCTTAATATGGCCTTTACTGCATCAACGCTAATACCATAATTCCAATGATACCTTTTTGTGCATGTTATCTTGGTTTTCAGAGTTTGTATTAGAAAAGGGATTATGGTGGCAAAACATGAGACTAAAACATGAACTTTGAAGATGAGAAGAGGAGACTGAAAGAAAACCTTGGAAGGGAGAAGGAAGAAGGAAATACAAACACCTTGTGTACACAACTTGGAGGCGATATGCCTACACTACTTTATAATAAAGAAAACGAACAAACACCTTGGATGAGATGCTAATCTCATCGTGGAAGGGATTGCTGAATAGTCCATGAGGGAGGAAAATTTATTTGACTATTCATTATCTCATAATAAGAAGTCTGATGTGATGCAAGGTGAGTTACACAAGATTATGAAAGAAGATTTACTAGTTGCTTAACCTCTTATAAAAATATGCATCAATTCAAAGTTGGTTATCAAATTCTTTGTGTTCCACTTGCTTAGGCAAAGAAATTACAAGGAAATTAATCGTACGATTTAAGCAATACAAAGGACAACGTAAAGTTAAAAGCTAATAACTTGAATCTAACAATTAATACGGAGTTGTTCACCTTGAGGCTTTCTCTCGTTCCTACGAATCTAGGTTGAGCGGAGGAAGATTGTCCACGCTAGAAATGAAGTCGCCACGAGGAGGGAGGAGCCAACGAACTCGGAGGTGGAGGTGGCACGGGAGGTCGGCCGTCGATGGTCCACTCGTAGTCTGGACTTTGTCTGTCGATGGTGTGTATGAGGGTCGGGAGGATCCGATCCAAGTAAGCTCCAACGGTGTCGTCGTCGGAGTCAAATCCCGCGTCGAAGAACGACGATTGTAGGACGTCGAGATTACCGTGGGCGTCGAATACAAGCCCCCATTCTAGCTCGGGATCCGCCATGCGACATGGAGGTGAAGATGATTGGTCGCCACAAGAAGTTCCAAGAGGAGAAGGGGGCGGCTTGGAGAGGAGGAGGGGAGGCCGGCGGTAGAGAGAGGGAGAGGGATGGGGTTTACTTTAGAAAACTGAAAGTAATTTCAGTTTAAGGGATTTGGGAGGGAATTATTTGAAATTTGATTCCCAATTAAAATGCAATTAAAGCATTAGAGGAAAAATTAATGGGGTGGAGCCAAAGGGGGAGGCCGGTGGTGTGGAGAGAGAGGGGAGAGGGAATTAAAACTGAAATTAATTTCAGTTTTAGTGCAATTGGGGGAGGGGGGAAATTATTTGAAATCAATTTTGGATTTCAAATAAGGGGAAGGAGTTAATTGAATCATTAATGGGGAGCCCAAAGAGGGGGGCCGGCGGTATGGCTAGAGAGAGAGGGAGTTAGGGAAAGAGGGAGAGGGGTTTCCAAAAATTGAATGATGACTAGGAAAATTTTAAATTAAATCCAAATCAATTTAATTTCAAATTTGGATTCATTTAAAAATTTCCATATATGGAATTTCCAAATTTTGAAATTCAAATTTCAATTCGGAATTAGTGGAGAGGGGGTTGGATGGGTGGTGGACAGCTGGTGGCTAGGTGGCCGGCCGACGGTGAGAGGGTGGGCGGCGGATGGGCTCTAGGGGCGGCGGCAACAAGGTGGGCTCGGGTTCCTTCAAGTTTCTATGCTTTACTTGTGATCTTCTATAACGGAGAGGCAAGAGGCTAGGGTTGCAAGTCTTCAATGATTCCTCCAAGTGAACTCACAAAGAAATCACAAAGAACTCACTAAGAGATCTTAAAGAAATTGAACTCACAAAGAGAACAAAGAGTAAGAAAATTTCATTCATCAATAATTCATTCCCTCATACAAGATACAAGAGCCATATAAATAGGCTCCAAATGACAACAAGTACAAAAGTCTAATATGTCCCTTGGGCTACAAGAGCAAACAAATACCTACGAGGGTAAAATGGGAAAAACTGAAAATAAATGCGTAATATATAAAATGCAGATACAAATAGTCATCAGTAATAAAGGCTCTCCATCATGGCCGTCGATCTCCGGTGTCGTCTCTGATAAAGGCGTCGGAATCTCCTGTCGATGACCCCATCAAAGTCCTAGCACTCTTATATAGAGTTGTAAAAGATAATCGAACTAATGACCAAATAGTCCAAATGTTAATGCAAAAGGCATCCAAGCAAAGATATAAGACACCATTAAATTGTTCTTTGTTTTCAGAGAAGAATATAAATAAGCATAATAAATCCTTCAAGAAGTTTTTTAGGCAAACGATTAACCTGCACTTGCTTGCACTTCTACTTGATCAAAGTGGTTTACATATTTGCTTTTCAAGATGTTGTGATTGATTTTGTAAATATGACTATATGATCAATGATGAGTTTCAGAGCCACCAACTACCGAAGTCATTGACAATACAGCATGCGATGAGGAGAGTATTCTTGAAGATTTTGAGGGGTATCTGGTATGTCAATGTTCCATTGTTTTATATGGTTTCTGCTTTTTTAGAATTTATGATACTAAAACGTTTTTATATATCACGAGGCATGTTGAAAATGGCCAAGCTCATAGTGAAATATTGACTACTGCATGTTCGTAAGGGATGCTGTATAATGTCTCTTAGTTGCAAGTATCTATCTAAGGTGGCTTTGTTGTCATAAGAAAAGATAATGCCATAGAGCTCAGTTTGAAGAAAATTCAATCCTTTTTAGGCTTACGAACTTGTCATGTTGCATGCTTCATAAAGTTGATCTAACAGTGTTTTCAGTTATCTTTATTTGATAAATGAATTCATTATTATTTTATTTGTGTATGACCTATTTATCTTTTTTCTCAAATAAGCTTCCATTCTGAATGGGTGGTGATGAGTGGCATCAATGGAAGACCCAAATACTATTGTTACACCTCCAATTAGAGGAGATATGCGACACCTTTTTTTGGGAAGAAACATTTATAGAAAGTTAAAAATATGAAAATAAACTTTTTGAATTTTAATAAAGCATAATATTATTATGTCAAAATATTAATCATGCTCTCGAAGTAAACTTCTCAAAAAGTTCAGTGTCCTACGAGGGATAAGTTTTCATTACATCGGATCATTATTATGCTAAAGATTAAATGTCATTACGTCCACCCACCTAATTGCAAATATCAATCAAAGTATGTATTAATGCATGAAGAAACATGCATATGAACAAATAATAAGTTTTATTTCAAAGTTATGCAAAACCATCAGAACTACATGATGTCGACACACTCTTCATCATTGGGGATTTCTTGAAGTCCTTTACATCTTTCAAATTCGGGCCTCACCTTCCAATAAGAGATCTCTTCCCACTTATTGCAATCTATAAGGTAGTAACTTAAGCCTTGACCGCAAAATGTTTGAAAATGATTCAAATAGCATCAAATTCAACACCAATGCTTGCATCACTTATATTGGTATAACTTCTGTGAAGATGTGCAAAAATAAGCCTTGACCTTCTCCAAATTTGGTCTATCACGTAATGAAAGTCAACGTCTCTTTCAAGAGATCGGGTCTCACTATAGTAACTGTAAGTCTTGATTGTCACTAAATCCTATTTGCATGATGAGAAAAGTCAATTCCTTTTTTAAGGGGAGACTTGAGCATCTCCATAGGGATTGGAAGTCTTGAACGTCTCAAAATCCGATTTGTCTGATGAGGACAATGATACGTCGTGGAAGTGAATGTAAAAGAGAAGAAAAATGTAGGAACACCAAGATAGGGATGATTTTTGAATTATCTCTTTAATAATAAAACAAGACACAATTAATCTTCTATTCGAGAGGTAAAACAGCTCTTCCACAAACCCTAGACGCCGCTAGAAACTGACAACAACATTATAAAAACAAAACTTAGCAATAACATAAACTAAATCCTAGACAACTGTTTAAATAGCCCTATAACACAATAACATAAATAGAACTTGTTATGTGTGGAATATGATTATGTTGATCAATCTGGTTATTTTGTTGTCTCAGACCTCAAAGCTTGTTTTGTTCACTAAGGGGTGCGGGGGTTTACCTCCTGCTTGGGTTCGGGTGCAAAGACTTTGACTGTGAATTTTTTTTAATAACTATAAATTTTCTAAGAATAATTTTTTTTATAAATTTTCTTTTTTTATTTATACATTTTTTTGGTACGCAAAATGAAGCTCATTGTAGGGGCTATGGGTCTTGATTTTTAAACTCCTGCCTTATATTTTTTCGCTCTTTACAGGGGAAAAGCATGAGTTGGTTAAGAAAGTCGTACCTCTGCCTAGTCTTAAAGTGTGGTTATTAATAGGTGGGGGGGGGGGTTCCTAAAAAAATATTTTAAAAAATTATGTTAAATTATTTTGGACCAAAAAATTTATTTTTTTATTGTTAATATACAATTTAAAAAGAAAATTACTTAAAAGAAATTATCGTGCAGGCCTTAGGCTCATGCGTTGAGGCACCTAATTACCACCCCTAGGTGCAATATGTGAGCCGAACGCACACAAGCACCATTACGTTAGACGGCGGCTGGTCGCCTACATGTGCGCATGCCAATTTTTTTGGCCCATACCATCCATTTCAAACATTTTTTGGGTCTGTTAGGCAGGCCCAGGAGGGGCCAGCTGGACCGGTCCAGCCCAGACCGATCCTCACTTACTCCAGGCGGAACCGAGCGGCACAGGAGCGGAACCGAGCAGCATAGGCGGAACCCGTGGGGGGCCAGGAGGAGTTTTGGGAGGGAAATTTTGAATGAGAGGGGCTATTTAGACATTTTGTAAAACTCTTTTATGGTTAATTAGGAGGTTAGGAGGAAAAGGGGGGATGATCCTAAATTTGAATCTTGTTTTTGATATCTAGGGTTTGTTTTGGGCTCTTGGCGTTGCCAGAGATTGTGGAGAGTATTTCCTTCCTCTCGAATTGAAGGAAAATTGTATCTTGCAAATTCTTTTCATCGACTAGTGGAATACAAGTGTTTGCAATTGCTTTCCTACGATTTTCTCCTAAGTTCCTCTCATATTTTCCATTGTTTGGGTTGTTTTCTTGCTGTGGACAGCAGTTTTCTTTGTTTGATACTTGATTTGGGTTAGGTTTGCTTGTGAATACAAGCATTTCCTATCAAATTGGTATCAGAGCATCGATTTGGGGACCTTAGGCGGCTGAAATCCCTATTTTTCAGCGAGCTTTTCGTTTCTGGAAGTGATTTTTTGAGATCCGTTGGGAAGAACGATGGCCGGAAAGAAAGTTGACGTCTTGGAAGGCGAAGTCGGCCAATTGAAAGCCGATTTGGAGGAAAGATTCTTCAATTTTCAAAATCAAATCACCTCCAGCAATGAAAGGTTGGAGGGGACGTTCACCGCAATGGAGGAAATGATGAAGAAACTACTTGAAATGAAGACCAATCCGGCGACATCGGAAGTAAGAGAGACCACTAACGACCATGACATGGGAGGAAATCCGAACCCCTTGCGGGGGAAGAGGAATTTGGAGGTGGAGATCCTAGAGGAAGAGAACGACATGCCTCTTCTAGAGCCTCTTTCGAGGGAAGAGATGAGCATGGGATATGACAGAAGGGGGGCTGATTTTGGTGGGAGGAGAGAGGGATCTCATCGCCGAGGTGCTGAATTCGAAAGAATTCAGCGTCGAGGGGGAGATTTTGAAGGAAGAAGGGAGGAACGTCATCGTCGAGGTGTTGAATTTGAAGGTATTCAGCGTCGAGGTGATGATGTTGAAGGGAGGAGAGGAGAGTATGAAGAGGGGTTCGAGTATATTCGTCGGAGGGACGATCGGGACAATTGGGGAACGCCTCCTCTGAGGGGAATGGGAGGCTATGGAGGATATCAGGGAGATCCCAAGGTGAGGAAATTGAAGATGCCCATTTTCGAGGGGGAAGACGGCCATGGCTGGATCTACAAGGTGGAGCGTTACTTTGTTGTCAACGGGTTGACAGAGGATGAGAAGCTGACGGCGGCAGGATTGTGTCTGGAAGGAAAGGCTTTGGCATGGTACCAGTGGCGTGACAGGAGGGAGCCCATCCGGAGTTGGAGGGAGTTTAAGGACTGCCTATTAGAACGTTTCCGAGCCGATGGGGGAGGAGATTTCTATGAGCAGTTCTTTGCCCTAACTCAGGAGGGGACGGTGGCGGATTATCTGGACAGATTTGAGTACTTGGCTAGCCGATTGGATCACATTTCAGAGTCGGCCCTGGAGGGGAACTTCATGAAGGGGCTTAAGCCCGAGATACGAACAACGGTCAGAGTTTTGGAGCCGAGGAACCTAGGGAAGGCTATGGAGTTAGCCCAATTGGTGGAGAATCAGAAGAAATCTGAAAGAGGAGCTCGAGGAAACTATTCGGGAGGGTCGCACAGGATGACGACTACCATCTTGCCTTCAAAGGTGGGATCCTCAGAGAGTCTGAAGGAGGCACCAAAGGAGAGAACTGGAGGAGGGGGAAACGGGGGACAGTTCAAATAGCTGACCGAGAAGGAGATGTAGGAGAAGAGAGCAAAGGGGTTATGTTTTCGATGTGATGAGAAGTACATGCCCGGACACCGGCGCAAGGATCGAACTCTTCAGGTTCTCCTCGTTTGCGAAGATGAGGAAGACGAGGAGGGAGGTGGGAGTGGGTCAGAAGGAGAGGAGAAGCTGCATCTGGATGTGGCAGAAGTCTCTCTGAACTCAGTAGTGAGATTCACTCCGAGTCACATTATGAAAGTAAGAGGAGAGATAGCTGACCGCGAAAGTGTTGATACTGATCGATAGTGGTGCAACCCACAATTTAATTTCTGCTCTGATCGTGGATCAGTTAGGGATGGAGCCAGTCGATACAGGAGGCTATGGGGTGATGATGGGCATGGGGAAAGTGGAGATGGGGAGAGGAGTTTGCAAGGGAGTGATCTTGACCATCCAAGGGCTACAGGTAAGGGAGGATTTTCTTCCCTTAGAATTGGGAAGTACATATGTCATCCTGGGGATGAAATGACTACAGACTTTGGGGGAGACCAAGGTCAACTGGGTGCTTTGAGGATGGAACTAATGATAGAAGGGCAGAGGAAGGTGATCCAGGGGGATGCAGGGCTGACAAGGAAGTCGTATCTCTCAAATCCATGATCAGATCCATACAGGAGGTGGGAGGGGGATTTTTGGTAGAGCTGCAACGTTTGGAGAGGGTCAGTGTGGGGGAAGAAGGAGACATTCCATAGGTGGTGCAACCGATCATACAACAGTACAGAGAGGTGTTCCAGCCACCCCAGGGATTGCCACCCCCTAGAGAGCAGGAGCACGCCATCCTTCTGAAAGAGGGAGTGTCACCGATTAGTGTTCGACCATATCGCTACCCCCAGATTCAGAAAGATGAAATTGAGAAGCTGATCAAGAAGATGTTGGAGGCAGGGATCGTCAAACCCAGTGTGAGTCCTTTCTCCAGTCCAGTCTTACTGGTCAAAAAGAAGGATGGGAGCTGGAGGT